GAAATACAGAAGGTAATTACATTTTTTTTTAAATTTGTACTTCATAAAATAGAAAATATCAAAGGCATTGACAAATTTCTAGAGGCATATGACTTGTTCAAAAAAATCAGAATGATATACACAATTTAAACAGATTAATTTCAAGCAATGAAATAGAGGAGGCCATCAGAAGCCTACCAACCAAGAAAAGCCCAGGACAGGACAGATACACAGCTGAGTTCTACAAAGCCTTTAAAGAAGAACTTCTACCAATACTCCTCAAACTATTTCATGAAATAGGAAAAGAGAGAACAATTCCAAACACATGCTATGAGGCCAATATCACCCTCCTCCACAATCAGACAAAGACATATCAAAGAAAGAAACTTCAGACCAATATCTCTAATGAATATAGATGCAAAACTTCTCAATAAAATTCTGGCAAATCAAATACAAAAACATATCAAAAAGATAGTGCACCATGATCAGTAGATTTCATATTAGGGATGCAAGGTGGGTGCAACATAAGGAAATCGACTCAAAGATAAAAATCACATAATCATCTCAATAGATGCAGAGAAAGCATTTGACAAAATACAGCATCCCTTCATGTTCAAAACATTAGAAAAACTAGGGATACCAGGAACGTATCTCAACATTGTAAAAGCTATCTATGCTAAGCCCCAGGTCAACATCATTCTAAATGAAGAAAAAATGAAAGCATTTCCTCTAAAAACTGGAACAAGACAGCGATGCCCTCTTTCATCACTTGTATTTAACATGGTTCTTGAAACTCCAGCCAATTTGAAAGATGAAAGAAATTAAAGGGATACAGATAGGAAAAGAAGAACTCAAAATTATCCTATTTACTGATGATATGATTCTATACCCAGAAGACCCAAAACATTCCACCAGAAAAATTCTTAAACAAGTAAACAAATTCAGCAAAGTAAAAGGATATAAAATAAACACCTGTAAATCAAAGGCATTTCTGTACATCAGTGACAAATCCTCAGAAAGAGAAAGAAGGAAAACCACCCCATTTACAATAGCCTCAAGAAAAATAAATAAATAAATAAATACTTGGGAATCAATTTAACAAAAGAGGTTAAAGTCCTATACAATGAAAACTACAGAATGCTGAAGAAAGTAATTAAAGAAGACCTTAGAAGATGAAAGATCTACCTTGTTCTTGGACAGGCAGAATTAATATTGTCAAAATGACCATTCTACCAAAAGCACTATACAGATTCAATGCAATCCCAATCAAAATCCCAATAGCATTCCTCATAGAAAGAGAAAAAGCAATAATGAAATTCATCTGGAAAAATAAGAGACCCAGAATAGCCAAAGCAATCCTTAACAAGAAAAGTGAAATAGTAGCATTACTATTCCAGACCTTAAACCATACTACAGAGCAATAATAGACCTGGAGACTAATGGTACAGGATAGAAGACACAGAGACAAACCCACATGGTACAGGATAGAAGACACAGAGACAAACCCACATGATTACAGTTATCTCATATTAGACAAAGGCACCAAACATATATTGGAGAAAAAAAATAGTCTTTTCAACAAAGCATCCTGGGAAAACTGGAAATCCACATGTAACAAAATGAAATTAAACCTCTATCTCTCACCATGCACAAAACTCAACTCAAAGTGGATGAAGGATCTAAGAATTAAACTAGAGACTGTGCACTTAATGGAAGAAAAAGTACACCCAAGTCTCCATCATGTCAGATCAGACCCCAGCTTCCTTAATAAGACTCCTATAGTGCAAGAATCAAAACCAAGAATCAATGAATGGGATGGATTCAAACTAAAAAGCTTCTTCTCAACAAAAGAAATGAACAGTAAGGTGAATGGAGAGCCTACAGAACGGGAGCAAATCTTTATTACAAGCACATCAGATATGGCACTAATCTCTAGGATATATAAAGCACTCAAAAATCTTAATAGCAAAAAAACAAACAAACAAACAAACAAATAACCCAACCAATAAATGGGCCAAGGAACTGTATAGACTCTTCTCAGAACAAACATATGAAAAATGTTCAACATCTCTAGCAATTAGAGAAATGCAAATCAAAACTACTCTAACATTTCATCTCACTCCAGTCAAAATGGCAGAAATAAAAACAATACATGTTGACAAAGATGTGGGGAAGAGGCACACTCATACATTGCTGGTGGGACTGCCAATTGCTGCATTCAATATGGAAAGCAGCATGAAAATTCCTTGGAAAACTTGGAGTGGAACCATCATTTGACCCAGCTATCCCACTCCTTGGTTTATACTCAAAGAATTTAAAAACAACATACTACAGGGGCACAGCCACATCAATGTTTATAGAAGCACAGTTCGCAATAGTTAAATTGTGAAGCCAATCCAGATTCCCTTCAGTAGCTGAATGGGATATGGAAACTTTTATACACACACATACACACACAATGCAATATTACTAAGCATTAAAAGAGAATGAAATCATGGCATTTGCAGGTAAATGGACAGAGTTGGAGAATATCATGCTAAGTGAAGTAAATCAATCTCCCCAAAATCAAAGACCGAATGAATGTTTTCTTTGATAGGAGGATGCTAACTCATAATGGTGAAGGATGGTGGGGGCATGGAAGGAATGAAGGAACTTTTTAGAAAGGGTAAAGGGAAGGGTGGGAAAAGGAGGGGGCCTGGGGGTAGAAAAGATGGTGGAATGAGTTTGACTTAGGGTAATGACCCTAAGTGCATGTATGAAGACATGAATGGTGTTTCATGTGTTTTTAAGAGGTCTTTTAAAATATTCTATTCAAATGACTGCCCTAAGTGTTTCAGTGTTTGAAGGTATAACATGTGGGTCCCATGATCAAACTCCTACAAAATGCAGATATTTTCATCAATAGAGTGTCAGTGTTTGATATCACATTGATAAATCATATATTCTCTTAGCCCTGGCACAATCAGGCTGTTCTGAGGCATTGCAGTGGAGAAAGACACACCCTTACACAAAACACATTTTGGTCCCATTCAGAATGGATTATAACCATGCACCATTTAGTGATGCTTCCATTAATAACAAATCACAGATATAATGGTGGTCCTATAAGAATATAAAGAGTAGAAAAATTTTATCACATAATGGTGTTGTAGCCTATGCATTTTTCATGTTGCTGATGCTGCTGTTGTAAACAAACCTATACTGCCAGTGAAATAAAATTACAGCACACAATAAAGTACAGTCCATAATCCTTGAATCCTTGATAATAAAGAAATAATTGGTTGATGTATTTATTTTAATATACTTTCATCATTATTTTAGAATGTGCTCACTATATATATATATATATATATATATATATATATATATATATATATATATATATATATAAACTTGAAAACAGTATGCGGTGTTACACCATCTGTAACCTCATTGAGATTTAAGTTGTTGGGCCCATTCCAAGTCACTTATGTATGGGCCAATTTCCCAGTTATTGAGAGTAGAGTTTTGCTAATATCTAGCTACATATATAGATCTGTCACCTGCATTTTGTGTTTGTTTTGCAGTGGAATTTGGGGATGTGCATTGGCTTCCTTTCAGCTTGTTCACACTTGTCTTCACTCCCGTTAATTCTTCCTGGGGATACTTTTTCATCGGACTTCCTTATCTCTTTACTTATTTATTTGGACCAGGGGTTGAACCTAGGGACACTTAACCAATGAGCTGTATCCCCTGCCCAGTTTTAATTTGAGATAGTGTCTCACCTAAATTGCTTATGACGTCCCTAAATGGCTAAGGCTAGCTTTGAATTTGCAGTCCTCCTACCTCAGCCTCATAAACACTAGGATTATAGGCTAAGCATGCGCCTCTGCGCCTGGCTTCTTGGACCGCCTTATCCCTTTCTTCTAGGATTACTCCTTCCAAGATTCTGAACAAGCAAAGCTGTTAGCCATTGTCTAGGGTTCCATAAATAATTGTACCTCAGATCATTTTTCTCTTCAGAATTGTTCCAGAGTCAGGTCCACCTCTCAAAATTCTATCATTGGTATAATTTCTACCTTATGCCTGTCTCTCAAGGACCTGCCAAATTGATAGTGTTTTCTGGCAGCTCTCAGTCTTTGCTTACAAAACCATACAAAGCAGGACCTATTTTTTTCTTCCATTAGTAGACCCTAATAAACTTCATTAATGCATTGGTACAATATGAAGGATCATCAACGGTTGAGTTCATGGAGCACTATGTACTGATTTACATAACTTCTTTTGTCCTCTGGGCCTGAGAGCCTCTATACTGGATTAACCATCACTATTACATGTTAGGAAGCTGCTGGGCTTTCCAAAACTCTATAAATGATATGTAATTGTTTTTTGGAGACACAATGGCTTTACTTTTGCATCTAGGTGTCTGTGCTATAACTCACTGTTAAGGCTTTAAAAGTTTCTAAATGGTATATAATGTACACTATCTTCTTAAAAGCAACACTCAACATATTAGGTATCAGGGTCTACTATAGCCTGCATCTGAATTGTTCCCCAAAGGCCCATCCACGTGTTAAAATTGTGATTCCCAGTTTAGCATTATTGGAAAGTAGTAGAAAGAGGTAAAACCTTGGAGGATGTCTTTTGGTCTTTGGGGATTGTGCCCTTGAAGGAAATAATGGTGTCCTGTTTCCTTCCTTCCTCTCTATTGCTTCCTGCTTTGGGGGTGAATGATCTTCCTCTACTATCCATTCCCACCATGATGTTTTACCACAGGCCAAGAACAAATGGGCCAACCAATCCTGGACTGAAACCTCTAGAAATGGGAGCTAAAATAAAACTTCTGTATTTATGAGTCAGTTACCTCAAGTATTTTTTTATAAATTGACTAATACATGTCCCAAAGTGTGATTGCATCCACTCACAGAACACACCCTTCAAAATTACCTGATAAATTATTTTAGAGCAGTATTCCACAGTAGCCAGTCAGAATTCAAACTGACCTTCCAAGCCCAGAGTGTTAGTGGTAGGAATTGCAATGCACAGGCTCTTCTTTCCATTGGAGGCTTCCTCTTGTTCTTTTTCTTTTCACTGGAATCCTACAAGTTTATACAATATGAAAGCTCCTTAATTTCTCACATAAATTATTTTCTAGCATTTGTAATTTGTAAGTCTCACAAGAATATCTAGAAGTTTACCATTTTCTACTCTTTGGGTCTAACATAATATCACCAAATATATTTCTTTGATACATACAGATTCAGAGGTTCCTTTGGAATATATTACACTAGAGGGAATTAATTTAAGCAGAGACTTGAAGCAGACCTTAAATTTGTAATGATTTCAAGTCTGAGTGAATATACTTCTGTCCTTCTGTGTTTTCAAAAGAGTGCATATACCAGATCTATAACAACAGATGATATACCAGAGCAGAGAGATTTCAGAAGTGAACTATCATCCGTGGGATCCTTTTGATCCAAGAAATGGAATTTAACATAAATGGGGACAGGGAAGGACAATAAAAACTTAATCATTATGTTTTTAAAATGGCCTTGGTATTTACCTTTCTCCTCAGTACACGGCATTGCCTCTAATTTACAATGTTGGGAACATTTGGCAATTTCAAGAATTTTTAGTCCACAATTTAAGGAAATGATTATGGCTTTCTCAGGTGCCAAGCATATCCATTCTGAATATGTACATGAGGACTTTTAATCGTCTACCTTAATGTGTTGGAACCAGTAATAAACAATATTTGGAAATGATTTAATTTACCATATGGCTTCTGCACACCTGCATACAAAAGACAGTCCATGGTTCAAGTGTTAACTCAGACACAAAGTGTAATATATTTTTGTAAAATTAGTGTACTTCTCTCTCCCCATTGTACAATTTCTCAAGTGAGTGACCAAACATAATTTTGGAGAAAGACTTGAAGGAATTATTACTGTGTTCACTTTATGGGTCATAGCATAATCCTTCAAGGGATGTTAGCCTTTTTAAATAAATTATCTCTGATTCAAAAGTGTCTTTAATAGGTAAACAATGGGAGATTGTGATTTTCCATTGGAATAATTCAGTCTTTCATTCATCCACTTTTTAAAATATATCATTTGAATTTTTTGTTATCAAATCATATTTCCCCCAAGAAACACCAAGATTAAATTATCATTGCCATAGTTCTCTGTGGGTAATGTTGAGAAATTTCCATGTGATTGCAGAATCTTTTAGGTAATTATGTCTATCCTGGTGACTAAGTGCTGTTACTCAGACTCTTTTTGAATAATATATCTAGTCCATTGATGGCGAATGCAGTTTCATAAGAGCCTCGCTTTCCATCTCCCCATTTCTAAAGTCATTTCACTTAGACATAAGTGATTTGCTGAAACTTCAAATGACTCCTTTTTTGAGTTCTGCTAGCCTTATGATAAAGGTCTCTGAGTACCAAAAACGAAGGTCTCTTCTTCCATAGAGACATTCTAAAATGCTCATCAGGATCTGAAATGGTAAATGACTTTGTTTTTCCTCAGGACACCAGTGGAATTTAGTGAAAACAACTGACTTTGTAACATTTTAAGCTATGTTTTTCCCATATCTACCTGAAGACAGAGATACTACAAGGCCAATGTATCATTTTCAACATTAATTTTACCCAGTTACTTATGGGCAGGGTTAGCCACTGCAGTGTTACAGCATAAAATGAGTTATCTATACTCTCTTTGCTAAAAAAAATATGTTTCTATTTTGGTCTGTTCAGAGAGAATTCAAATACAGTATCTCATCTTAAAATCTGCTACCTAATGTTACTTGTGCAACTTAGTATATCAGTTTAGGTTCCTCAGAAACAACAACAACAACAACAAAATAAGAATTTAAATGGAAATGGATAAGTAATATTCTGGGAGGTATGTGGGATACTGTAAGTGTAGGGAGTGAGACTTACTAACCAGAAAGCCTAAGCAAAGACAAAATATCAAACAAAGTTCCACAGGTGATAAATTTGATTCAATCCTCCCTTGAAAGTTTAGAGACAATGTAATTCCTCATAAATTTTGCTACTATTCAAGAGCAAGCAAGCTTGAGTATTTATAGCCAATTATCTATCACTCATTGTTTAAGGGAGACCAGTTGGGGAACATTAATTCTCGGTGATATGAGGCTCTAAGTTCACAGATCACAGCAAGATCTAAGAGGCTAGGGCAGGACTTTGATAGAGCTCCAGGTTCTGGGTGGTTCAAAGCATTCAAAGTAAAGTGGAAGTTTATATGCATAACCATGGTTAATAAAAGTAATTCTGGGTTGAGCACTGATATCAAATGCAATGAGTATATGCCACATTCTTCAGACATTTCTGAATATTTCAATTGGCTGTAAGACTATTTTTTAATGGTTATAACTTATCAATGATTGTTTTGAGGGCTTTGAGACAGAAAAATGTTTGCAAGTTTAGTAAAGGGGACAGTGTACGTGTCTACAATTACACATAATTCAAAGTAATCTTCTAGTATTTTCCACTTGCCTATAATAATGTTTTTAGGTATCAATGATACAAAAATTGTAGAATTAATTGACCATGATAAGTCATTCAAGTTATGATTTTTCCCCAAAATTGATCTCTCGGTACTTAAAAATTTCCCTTTTCAAGAAGTCATATTTTTATATCCATGATCAAAATAAAGTAATAATGCTTAAATATATTAAAATCTAAGAAGATTTATTTTATGATAAATGAACAATTATTGTAATTAAAAATAATTACAAAAGAAATTAGAATTCAGTCTCTATGTTTATGTTGAAGCATAGCAATACCACAAGAATAATAATGCCTATTTTGGCATGATTCACTTCTGTCTTCCTCTCTTTCTCTCTCTCTCTCTCTCTCTCTCTCTCTCTCTCTCTCTCTGTGTGTGTGTATGTGTGTGTGTGTATTTTATCAGGTTAGGGGATGGAGGAAGTGGAAAACATAAAACTTTTTTTCATTCTTACTCAAATTTGTTATTAAAAAGAAATGTAAATTTTTAAAGTAATTTCAAAATATCAATTTTCAAGTATGAATGTATTATTATAATATACTCCTCTCTCTGCTATGAAGATTCACGGTGTGAAGATTGATACTACCTAAGAAAATACCAGCAGCTCCTGAGATAACCTATCAGTTTTCAATGAAAATATCTGCTGAAATTGAACAGTAGATAATTTTTTTTATCAGCAAATAAAATGCATGTTGTAAATATGACAATGATAAAAGAAAAAAAAAAGGTGTAAACAGAAGAAAACCAAAGAAACCAAAGACTGGTGGAATTTTATTGACTTATGTCTTGAATAGATAATTGCACTTGAAGAGGCAATTTACTACATAGTGACCCCTTTCCCTGTGCTCTGTCAAATTCAATTCCTCTCACTCAGATGAGATGACCTATTCCTAGGTTCTACCCACATGAGCAAAGTGAAATGGACAATTGAGCACTTATCCAGTTACTTTAATCAATGTGGATGGGTTCTTTATAAATCCTTCACCTTAAAAGAAATGATTTGTTGTTCATTAATTATCTGGATAACAGTCTACATTATTCTCCACATGTTGATTATTCAAATGTTTTCTCTGGTACTAGTCCACTCAGAGTAACTCAATGTTCTACCATCTCCCTGTCTGAAAGACAACCACCCAATTTCATGCATTATATTTCTTTTCAAAACCCAATTTCTAAGATTGTCTTTTTAAATTTTCAGGCCTTCACATAACAGTAATATGCTAAACTAAGAATCATACAATTTGAAATATCTAATTCATGCTTTCCCATTCAATATTTGTGTCATGAGAGTTGTGTTGACTTCCAGAAGCTCAATTTCCAACATCAGAGTGACTAGCTGTGGCTTCTTGGCAGACATCTTTGTCTGCTGGCCTAGAAAATATATCTCTGAGCTCATGTTTGAATAAGGTTTTATAAATGCCTGTTAGCAAAACAGCATAACTTTGACACATACTACACCAATAAATAATGTCTTTAATAATGAACATTTGCTAGTAGATAAAGGAAAAAATCTAGAAATACTGACATGCAACTAAAATTACCAAATACAATTTCAAATATGAAAACATAGTATCACTATTCAATGATTCAATAAAGGGTGAAGTTTTTCCCACTGGGCATCATGGAGCTGTATTGTCCTCTGATAATATTATATAAAAAGCCAACCAGTTGAAGTCAGTAGTGTCATTTAAATGACATTTTGCAGAATGTAAAATTGAAGCAGGAAATCAATGATTTGGTCAAAGAAAATGAAGAAAAAAGGGTATGAAGAAAACTTTGATCAGAAATTCAATGGTAATTCACCCCCTTTAGAGAGTCAAGTCATTAATAGAAGTCAAGCTAGGACTTTCCAATATATTCAAAGTATCTGTTTCTATAACAAGTTGGTTAAAAACTAACACTTATATGGTATATCATAAACATATGAGCCAAATATGCTTGGAAAAGAGAAGATAAAATCTAGTTCCTGATCTCATAGGTTGTAGCTTTAATCACCACTTCTGTGAGATATGCAGCCATGATATGTACTATCAAAACTTTTCACCAACAAAGGGAGAACTGTAAGAAAAGGTTTTACGAGGAATGTTTCCAACACAGAAAATTATGGTAAAATTGAAAATAATAATTAGGCAATAGTCTTATAGGAGCTCCATTAACCACATGTCCTTGTTTACTTTCAAAGGCAGTACTATAAGACAGTAGGATTTCACATCTTCTTAATGTTAGCTACATGGAAAAAGTTTGGATGTGGGTCCTCTAAAATCCATAAATCAATACAAACCTGCCACAGAAATTATTTCCTCATTTGAATATATCTTTACTCTAATTATAAAAGTAGTTTATCTCTCTTTATCATAATAAACTCATATGTTAGTACCGAATAATAGTTGGAACATCCCAACATCCCATAGGTGGGATGTTTCCAACAGCAGCACATCACATGAAGTTCTCCACTTCACTTTTCTTTTTCTTTCTTTTTTTTTTTTCTTTGAGAGAGAGAGAGAGAGAGAGAGAGAGAATTTTTTAATTTTTTTTTTTTTTTTTAGTTTTCGGCGGACACAACATCTTTATTTTTGTTTGTATGTGGTGCTGAGGATCGAACCCAGTGCTGCGCGCTTGCCAGGCGAGCGTGCTACCCCTTGAGCCACATCCCCAGCCCTCCACTTCAGTTTTCAAATGACAACAAATCTGTCTAAAACTTTGTTGGTAATTTAACAATTGCATATTAACTACCAATGCCTATATCCTGAGAAGGTTAAAGAAAATAACTAAGGAGATATCAGACTTTGTCCAAGTTTTCCTGGGAAAAACCAGTCTATTATTTTCCTCTTTAAGAGTGTGAATGTGTATTAGCAAATTATAGTCTGTGTAATGTAATTAATATGGTTGTCTTTGCATCTGGGATGGTAGACCCTAGAATAATCAGGCAAGCCAAAGGGAAGAAGGATGTGAAGTAGGAAATGAAAACATAAGCTACTACATATGAGATCAGGAGAACAAAATAGATTTCATACCAGTATCTCTCCATCTTAAAGTCTCCAGTCTCAATGATTAAGGTGTACTGAAGGAGTCCGCACCATTTATGACAGAGCTAAGCATCCATCTGGTTCAACAGTGACAAAAACTGGGTCTGGAGAGAGGTGGAGAAGCTACAAACACTTTTGGTACTCCTCAGCAACACAGTGAACTAGAAAATGAAAGAATACAGGTGTGAAGCATGCATGCTACACTTTTCTTAATCATTTCAACATAAATTAATAAATGAATGTTGATTTACTTCTTCCTCCCAAATTTTGCAAAAATATACTTTTGTGGTCCATGATAATTGGGAACTACTCCAGTAAAGAAATTATAGCACACAAAGCTAGCCTAGCCAGGCTGAAATAACAAAAATCCACAGACTGTCTGAGTAAGTGAATAGCTATAAACTAGCAACACAAGACACAATGCATGAAAGAATCATTGACATGAGTGGCCCAGTTTAGATTCATCTATTTGAATTCAGGTGAGTTACCTGACTTCCACATTCATAGCTACATGCCCTGAAGGAAGCTCTTTCATTTGAAAAGAAATTAAATTAACTGTTAAGAATATCTCCACCTAATTTATCATTGGGGAAAACCTGGGTAACTCTCTTTTAAACTTTCACTTTGAGAATAATAATGTGAGGAACTCTATAGACCTATATTCCAGGAGGAAAAAAAAACTGGTTAAAATTATGAAAACTCAACTATTTAAAATCTCAAGGATTTTCCTAAGGGTGTGCAATGCATAAAGAAACGTTTAAGAAAATGTACTAAATATTTGGCTCTCCTTTGTCTGGGGAGAAAGGATACTCCTCCCTCCCATCTGAGTAAGTGTGAACAATAAGGAGGGTTCCCTTTTCCCTCAGCTCCCAGTCAAGGAATATAGTATTTCCTCAAGAGGGGAAATCACCAGCATTTCTCATTTCCCCAGATTCAAGATTCAGAGAGTAAATTCTCAGCAAGAGCTGCTGAAGAATGAAGGCTTCCTTCTTCCACCTGGCCAAACACCATTAGAGCAGACTCTGGGCTCCAGGCAGGGCAGTCTGAGAACAAGACCCAACTTGCCTTTGAGGTCAGGTTTCCTGCCAGGAGCTGCAAACAGATAAATCAGAGGCTGTATCCCCAGCCAACTCCCTGTTAAAAAAGAAAGGCATGACTCCCAAGAAAAAGCCCTCCTGGGTCAGAAAAATAAACCTCAGAAATCACCTCTGCAAAGGACTTAGAATTTAGTTAGAGGAGATGGTGAAGCGATCAATGTTGCAGAAGATCTTTGAGGACCACATATCAACTATCTGACAAATAGTGGAGATAAAAATCTGGGTGTGATACCAACAGAGGTAGATAGCTCAATGGACAGATCAGGGAATGAAGCAGTCAAATAGAATCCTCCTGAAACCACTGGAATTCCAGAATGAGTGCCCTCTTGCCAAGTCTGTATCTTCAGAGGAGTGACATCTGATACTTTGCCCTCATAGGAAAACAGATTTTGCTAAGTAGTGAAGACACTAAACAATTAAGCAAGAAACAAAGCCATAGAAACTGTCTGTGAGAAGGATCAGATGTGTGGGTGAATAAAGACTTCAAAGCATTGATTATTTTTAAACTTTCATTCGTTCTTTTTAGTTTTACAAGACAGTACAATGTATTTTAGCATAGTACAAACACATGGAGTATAACTTATTCTAATTAGGATCCTATTTTTGTGGTTGTACATGATGCGAAGTTACCCTGGTTATGAATTCAAATGGAAGGCTAAAAGAGTTATGTCTAATGAATATTACTGCCCTTCCTTCCCCACCCCCAACTCCTTTCCCTTGATTCTCTTTGTCTACTCCAAAGGACTTCTATTCCTCCCCTCACCACGTTCCCTTTTTATGGGTTAGCATCCACAAATCTGAGAGAACATTCAACCTTTGTATTTTGGGAGGATTGGCTAATTTCACTTAGCATGAAGTTCGCCAATTCCTTCTTCTTACCAGCAAATGCCATTCCTCTGTATGGCTGAGTAATATTCCATTGTGTATATATACCATTTTATCCATTATCCATTTTTTTATCTTTATCCATTATCTTTATCCATTCATCCATTGAAGGAAACCTAAATTGGTTTCATTTCATAGCTTGGCTATTGTGAATTGAGCTGCTCTACACATTGATGTGGTTGTGTCTCTGATATATGCTGATTTTAACTCCTTTAGGTATAGACCAAGGCATGGGATAACTAGATCAAATGATGGTTCAATTCTAAGCTTTCTGAGGAATATCCAGACTGCTTTCTATAGTGTTTTCACAAATTTACAGTCCCACAAGCAATGTAAAACAGTCAAACATTGATTACTGAGTATAAATTTACACACTTTTCTCCCCTTAGTTTTAGGGCATAGAGAAGTTATATATACATATATTTGTGTCTTCTGATAAATGAGTTAATTTTTTTTCTACATTGAGCTACATTGTACTATAAAGAAGCATATTGCTATAAAATGTTGTGATGTGTATGTAAGCTTTGCTAGTCTGTATATCTGATAATGTATGATAGTTGAAATTATCTAAATCCTAGTTTTCTCTGTGAAACTGAAGATACTGTGAATGGAGATCATAGTCAATATCTGTACATGAGGCTCTATTAGGTTCAGTAGTGGCAGAGGACAACTCTCTTTCATAAGGTATGCGGGATGCATATTTCTTAAAAGATAAATAAAGTAGTTTATATATTTTTTTTAAAAAATTACTGTTTCAGAATAGAATATGGAATGTAAAGAACAAGACTAAAGAGATTTAGGAAGTTGAAGTTGTAGGAAGTTCATGGAATGGGAATTTTATTTGTCATTTTCAAAGATAATTAAAATATATATATATATATATATATATATATATATATATATATATATATTTAAGAATTTTAGTTTGAAAATTGTGGTGTCAAAAAATTTGCTTTCTATTAAAAAATTGTTTTTGATGGATTGTGGTCTGCTTTAAATGGAATATTGTAAAAGCATTTTTTTTTACCTCTGAGTAATCAGCCTAGGAGGCAAAGATTTTGTCTCTTATCTGAAAAATTTCCTATGGTTTATAGTGACGTTTTTCAGTTATTATTTAGAACTAAGTATTCTCACTTTTAAGAAATCTAAGTTTCTTAAATCATGTCACCTCCTATGTTTATTTTAAGTCTTTTATTGGCACTTGTTTAAGTAGGTGGCCAAGTGTTGTTTCTTACTAACCCATAATCTTACTTCATCAATTTTTGAAATCTCCTGACAACTTTTGATATTTTGCCTTCCCCAAACCACATCATAAATGATATCTTTTGCACTTAAAGCTGTCTTTGAGATTTCCCAGGAGTTCCTAGAGATATCACAGAAGATTTGTTCTTTTCCCTAGAAAAAGGAGATCCTATAAATAATTAAGTTATATAATATGAGTTTCAAGGAAAGTGTCAAATCAGAAGTACTTAACCTTCTCTGGCTTAAATTTGTATGTGTGAATTTCTGTTAATACAAATACTGCAGAAATAATGTAAATATTCTAGAGACTTGTCACTGAACTTGCTGTCCGTGATATTTCATCAGAATCCTGGTGCTACTTTGCCTAATATTTAGACCATACTAATATGAAATTATCATACCCTCAAAAATCACATTATTAGTTGCTTTTCAAATATTAATGTGGTCACAATTTTACTTCCTAAATTGGATCCAATATAGTTCAGAGGTTTTCAATTGGGAATGGTGACCATTTCCCTATGATGTTTCTGTAATATACAGTTATTTAGAACCTCATGAATTTATGATGATTCATTTACGATTTTTAAACTTTTGATGGTGCAAAAGAAGTACACATTCAGTAGAAAGTGTATATAACTGCTGCTTTAATGTTGTTCTAGTCAGTTGTTTTGCTGCTGTTCCCAAAAGATCTGACATGAACAATTCAAGGAGAAAAAGGTTATTTGGGGTTTCACACTTTTAGAGATCTCAGTCCACTGTCAGCTCCATTGTTCTGGGCCAAAGGTATGGCAGAACATCATGGCAGAAGAGTGTGGTGGGGGAAAGCAGCTCAGGACTTGGCCACTGGAAATGGAGAGAGAAAAGACAGCTCTCCTCACCACTGACAAAAAATAAACCCCAAAGGCATGCCCCCCAATGACCCACCTCCTCCGGGGCACTTTATAGTTAATCTCTATCAGTGGATTAATGCAGTGATTCAGTCATTTCAACTGTAAACTTCCTTGATTATCACACACCTGAATTTTTTTAAGACACCTCATAACTAAACCACAAGAGTGTTCTTTAAACATTGAAACTTGATCTTTTGTTGGGCTAGCAATTTTTGGTACCATACTCTTTCATGATGGTGAGCAGCAGCAGCAAACTTCAGCTCCCTGGCAGCTATGCAATCACAAAGGTAAACCACTGATCTGGTATATCACATTGCTAATGCTTTGGGGATATTTTGTTTAGTGATTTTTGCATCCCAAGATGTCTCCAAAAATACCAGTCTGTATGTGCATATGAGATATGCAACACAACACTTTGTTAAAAGAAAACTTTTGTATTAGATGCTTTTGTTCAACTGTAAGCTAATGTAAGTGTTCTGAGCACATTTAAGGTAGGCAATGGTAAGCTATGATGTTTTTTAGTTTATATATTTAAAATGCATTTTTATGCATAATATTTTCAACCTACAATGGGTCTGTTGCGACCATTAAGACGAATAAATCAAGAATCATATGCATATGTTCAGTATATTCATGGTGTTTATATAACTCTGGATTATATAAATATGAATATTTTTCACTGTAAATACTATGTTTGCTCATTTTTATAAATGAGATATACTATTGAGTCATTTTTTAAAAATGAGAATACTTATTATATTTATAGATATCTTGTCTAAAACTTTTTCCCATTGACTTAAGTTTGTTTTGTATGTCACAGAAACATTTTCTTATCAGTTATATTAGTCCCATAATATACTCTCACCAGATCTTTCACTTTTGAAATTTCACATTAAGTTTAACAGTTGTTTTAAATCTTTTATCATCTATAGACAATTGTTTCTCTTATAAACAATTTGATATTTTCCCAAATGCACGTGAAAATCGACTAGAGAACAGTGCTTGGCTTTAACAAAAATTAATATCTCAGATGTTCTTAGAAAACGACTAAGCCAGTCAGTCACTTTTAAGAATAGACTTCTGACAGCATATCAGAAATAACTTCAAGACTACAAATAGTCGAGTAAGTCAGAATTCACAGAAATCTAGTGGAAAAGCAGATGTTCTCATGACATTTCTAAACCAAGATTAAGTTGAAAAATAATTAAAAACATAGAACTGAATGAAACTCATGAGAGATAATTATGGATTATTTTTCCCTTGGGATATTACCCATGCTGTAATGTTGTACATTATAGATACATGGAAACTACTTTTTCTTACATGATTTATATCTGCTAACAATTTAACAGACTATGAATTTATAAGCAAATTAAAATGTATATCTTTGTTTTGTTTTGTTTTTACCCCATCAAAGTCTCTAGAGTTCATAATTTCTTATTAGTTTTCTTAATCTCATAAAAATGTAGTAATCTGTGTAAGTTTAATAATTTTCTAACATGTCAAAGGGACTTAATTGAAAACATTGGTTAGATGATATTTTTTTTCCATTTTTTTCCCAATATTACCAACAACCCCCCAAACCGTTAGTCCCTATTTAGTCATGGAATGTAAAACCCGAATTACCTGATCCTTCTTGGAACTGTGGTTTGACTTCCAGCTGGGTTTTTAACTCTGGGATCAGTGGAAGTACTGTTAGAAAAGCCTAACAAATTTTTATATTCCTTGAAGAATTTACTACTCTAGGAGACTAAGAGTGGGCTAATTTCTCCCTGAACAAGCTGATGTCTGAATCATAGAGAAAGAAATACAGCAAAATGCTCAGGTTGTGCATGACCTAAAATAATTGATAATAAAGACAGTGTACAACATTCTTGAGAACATTAGTACCTTAAAATCAATGAGCCTTGCTGCTTAACAAAATGACCTTCACTCACTAACTTGGGGACTCTAACCTCTAGACTCCATAGTTTCAGAGTTCAACTCCTGGCTCTTTATTTTAACATGATTTTATACTAATATGTGTATATCTTATTTCATATATTCCTTTTAGAGGCATATTATTTTCAGTGATCTCCATCAACTAATATTTACCTCCATGCTTCAACAGGATTCAAATGACTTTGCAAGGATGATACAAATATGTATGGTCTAGAGTCTTTCTTAGACCCAGATTCACCCTACTCTGGTGATTTATGTCTGTTTTGGGGATTTTAAGTGATGAATGTTATTCAACCATTACGAAAAAAAAGGAATGATAATTTTTGTACTTTCAGATGATGTAACAAAACTTATGGCATGCAATTAAAGCAGTAATTCTAGAAAGCTTGCAACTGCAAAAGCCTCTACTAAAAAAAGAACCAAACATTCAATAATGTAATTTTTACTTAAGACATTGGAAAATTAGAACAAACTGAAACCAAAGCCAGTTGAAGGAAAGAAATGAAAAGTTCTGGATGTTAATTATGCTGCACATAACCTGAGCCATGTCGTAGTACTGCAATACAGTGATGGAAAAAATTAAAAAAAAAAAAAAAAACAAACATACAAACAAACAAAAACCCCCACAAAACTCCTCATCCTGTTTTATTCTGTGATGTGGCTTACAAACAGAACCAATCTGCCTATATGATTTAGATAAGACGTAAATCTGCTATATTATTTAGATAAGACTTCTTGTGACTCTGGTAAGACACATGGGTGACTCCTTTACTTATTTGTGACATGGCTATACACAGATGCTTGCTCTTACATGAACCTGCTGACCAGGCAAGACACAGAACCACCAACTCCCTGTTTGTTGCCTCATGGATGATTAGCTGAACTCTGTCTCTGTGCAACCAGCTGAATACTGAGATAAACATTTCCTATTCATATCACTGACAAAGACTTGCAGAGCTCACAATAACAATACCAAATGTGAATTCGTCTGTAATACCTTTTTTATGTCTCCCTATTAATGTATAAACCATAAATATCTTATAAAGGCATTCTGTCTTTGAATCTGGTGTGCTTACCCTATTGCATTACCATGAAAAGAATCTATTTCCTTTGGCAGTAAAACTTCATGAAATACTGAATATCACCAAAAGTGTAAGTTGTTTCTTTGAAAAAAAAATAGCAAAATTCACCATCTTTAGCTAGACTAACCAAGGGGAGAAAAGGACAATATTCAAATGATTAAAATGAGGAATAAATAAAGGACAATTTGCAATCAAGTCAATAGAAATAAAGCATCATGTTTTGATACATCTATATATTTGTAATGACTAAAACGGGATAGTTAGTATATCCATCACCTCAACCATCTATCGTTTCTTTGAGTGAATCTTCTAAAATCATCACTTGTAGTTATTTTGAAGTACACAGTATTATTTTTAACAATGTTCACCCTATTGTGCAAAAGAACATCAGAATATAAAGTAAACTTTAAAAATATATAAAGGTTTAAGTAAATACGAGAAGCATTTATACACAAAAACTTAAATGAAATACACAAATTCCAAAAAGAATAAAAAAATAAAGAAATTGAAAGGAGAAATAGACAATCTGAATAGACATATAACATATACAAAATTGAAATTGCAGCTAATAAAATATCCGCAAAGAAAGCAAGTCCCAGATTGATTTACTGGTAAACTTTGAACTTCCTTAAAAAGAAATAAATACCAATTTTTTCATAAGGTCATCCCCCCCAAAAAAAAATAGAGTAAGGAACATTACTTACCTCATAACATAATTACAATAAGGACAATATATACATTATATTCCAATATAGACCGTTTTAGTCAGCCTTTTCATAACTGTGACTCAAAGACAATAAGAACAATATGGAGACAGAAATATTTACTTTGGCTCATGGTTTCAGAGGTCTCAGTCCATAGATGGCTGGCTTTGTACCTCTGGGGCCAAGATGATACAGAACATCATGGTGGAAAGGAATGGCAAAGAAAAATAGCTCAGGACAATAAGTGTCAGGGGAGGAGGGGAAAAAGAGAGACAAGGGAAGAGAGTTCCATTTACCTGGGAAAAATGTATACATTCTACTTGCACACCCCCAGTAACGTACTTCCGCTAGCCCCACCCTTCTTGCCTACAGTTACCACCTAGTTAACTAGTATGAGTAGATTAATTCATCAATTAGGCCATACAATCATACAATGCTCATAATCTAATTATTTCACCTATGAGCATCTTTGCATTTTCTCCCACATGAGCTTTTGGGAACACCCTTTATTCAAACCATAACATATACAATATTTTACTTATAATGGTTTGATTTCACTTTTTCAACTTCACATTGCTATTAAAATAACAATCATTTAATATAAATTGTACTTAAAGTTTTGAATTATGGTCTTTTCCTGAACTATTTTCTATGAGGTCTGATATTCTCTTACTATGTAATGACAACCAGCCACAGCACCCAGTCATCCCTTTGACCACTGGGGCAAAAACTGGTATCAATACTGTTCTGCTAAGCTAGGAAGTTCAATAGGTTAGCTGCACTAACTGCATTTTCAATTTAGAATATTTTCAATTTATGCTGGGTTGCCTGGGGCATAACTACAGCATATGTTGGTGAACATTTATAATACCAAAACAAGACAAAGACATCACATACAAACAACTAGAGATCGATACTTCTAATAAATGAAATATGCTAAAAATAATAGTGCACTAAATCCTGTGACTTATAAGAAGGATTATATACCATGACTGAATAGGATTTATCCCAAAATGCAGGATGCTTTTAACATCTTATAAACATTTATGACAATACAAAAAGAAATAAGTGCATGCAAAAAAGAATTTGACAAAAATGAACATCCCTTCATGATAAGAAATTTAAAAAATGAACTTTCAAAAAGTCAGGACTAAAACATAATAAATAGCATCTGCAGAAAACACAAAGCTAACACCAAACTCAATTATGGAAAACTGAATATATTCCTCCATTTTAGTAGGAAAATACAAGAATGAATACATATGTCACTTACCTTCAACATTTTCCTAGAGGTTCTACCAAAGAAAATGAAGAAACAGAATGTAAGTCCTCCAGATTGCGAATAATGGTGTAAAATCATTTTCCATTGCACATTGCATTATCTTCTACACAGAAAATTTTGAAGACTCCCTGAACAAAAGATTAGAAAGGTTGAAGAATAAAATATCAATATAATAAGTCAAATGCATTTCTTTATGTCTGCAATGAATAATCCAAAATAAAATTAGGAAAACAATTCCATTTTAATATCATTAAAATGAATAAAACAATTAGGGATATATTTGTCCAAAGAAGTGTAAAACTTATATAATGTAAAGTATAAAACATAATTGAAAGAAATTAAAGGAGGTTAAAGATAGAGAAATATCATGAATTTTTAAAAATGTCATTATTACTCTGGAGATTCAATGGAATCTTAAACACAATGCAACCTGGCTCTTTTACAGAAGTTGAAAAGCTGATCTTAAAATTTCTAAGTAAAAACAAGGAAGTTAGAAGAATCAAAATGATATTGAAAAAGCTAAACAAATTTTGAGGGCTTACAAAATGAGATTTTAAAACATGCTACAGATCTATCGTAATCAAGATATGAAACTTTTGGCAAAATGATAGACTTATAAAGTAATGAAATAGAATTGAATTTATGAAAAAGTCTTCACATTTATGTTCAATTGTTTTTCAGTCATGTATCAAATCAATTCAATGGAGAAAGAATCCACCATTCAAAAGATGATGCTGAACAACTGAATATCATATGCAAAACTATTGAATTGAAACCATGTTGCACAACATTCAAAACTAATTTCAAGGTATATGATAGCTATAATTAAAAAAAAAAACTCTTAAAAAGAAAACAGTCACACATCTAAATACCCATCAAATAGGAACACGTTACTTAAAATACAACAAGCCAAGGGCAGTGGTACAAGCCTGTAGTCCCAGTGACTGGAGACACTGAGCTAGGAGAATTGCAAGTTTGAGGCCAGCCTCAACAACATAGGGAGGCCCTAAAAAGCTTAATGAGACATTGTCTAAAAAGAAATATATTAAAAGACCTGGGAAGTGTATCAGTTATTAAGCTTCCCTCGATTCAATACCTGGTTAAAAACAACAACAACAACAAAAAAAAAAAAAAAAAAAAAACAGGCACAACCACAAAAACAAAAAAAACAAGGAAAAGGAAAAAATGTAAAAAATTAGAACTTCACCAAAATTAAAATGTTTGTGCTAAAAAGCACACTATTAGATGAGTTTGTATTTTCATCTAAAATATAAAAGAATCCATGCCACTAAGACTAAAAAGATAAATAGTCCAATTTAAAAAATCATCCAAGGATTTGAATAGACACTTATGTAAAAGAGATCAACAGGTCCTTGGACCATTTATTTACTGGGTTATTTGTTGTTGGTGGTGGTTTTTTTTTTTTTTTGGTGTTAGCTTTTTTAATTCTTTATATAACCTACAGATTAGTGCTCTATCTGATGTGTGAGGGGTAAAGATTTGCTCCCAAGATGTAGGGTCTCTATTTACCTCACAGATTGTTTCTTTTGCTGGGAAGAAACTTTTTACTGTAAGTCCATCCAATTTATTTATCCTTGATTTTAATTCTTGTGCCAAAAGAATCTTATTAAGGAAGTTGGTCCTGGGCTGGTGATGTGGCTCAAGCAGTAGCGCGCTCGCCTGGCATGCGTGCGGCCCAGGTTCGATCCTCAGCACCACGTACAAAGATGTTGTGTCCGCGGAAAAGTAAAATATTAAAATTCTCTCTCTCTCTCTCTCAAAAAAAAAAGGAAGTTGGTCCTAATCCCATATGATGGTGATTAGGTCCTATTTTTTCTTCTATTAGACACAGGGTCTCTGGTTTTATTCTCAAGTCCTTGGTCCATTTTGAATTGAGTTTTGTGGATGGTGGGATATAGGAGTTTAATTTCATTTTGTTGCATATGGATTTCTAGTTTTCACAGCACCATTTGTTGAAAAGGCTAACTTTTCTCCAATGCATGTTTTTTTGGCACCTTTAGAAGATAACATACAATCAATCAACAAATATATGAAAAAATGTTCAACATCACTAGCAATTAGAGAAATGCAAATCAAAACTACTCTAACATTTCTTCTCAGTAAGAATGGCAGCTATTATGAATGCAAAAAACAATAAATGTTGGCAAGGATGTGGGGAAAAAGGCACACTCATACACTGCTGGTGGGACTGCAAATTGGTGCAACCAATGTGGAAAGCAGCATGGAGATTTCTTGTAAAATTGGGAATGGAACCACCATTTGACCCAGCTGTCCGTCTCCTAGGTCTATACCCAAAGGACTTAAAAACAGCATATACAGGGACATAAACACATCAACGTTTATAGCAGCACAATTCACAATAGCTAAACTGTGGAACCAACCTAGATGCTCTTCAGTAGATTAAAGGATTAAAAAAAATGTTGCATATATTCACAGTGAATATTACTCAGCAATAAAAGAGAATAAAATCATGGTATTTGCAGGTAAATGGATGGAATTAGAGAAGATAATGCTAAGTGAAGTTAGCCAATCCCAAATAACCAAATGCTGAATGTTTTCTCTGATATTAGGAGGCTGATTCATAATGGGTTGGGGATAGGGAGCTTGGGAGGAATAGATGAACTCAAGATAGGTCAGAGGGATGGGAGGGGAGGGGAGAGGACATGAGGTTAAAAATGCTGGCGGAATGTGATGGTCATTATTATCCAAAGTACATGTATGAACACAATAATTGGTGTGAATATACTTTGTATACAACCAGAGATATGAAAAATTATGCTCTATATGTGTAGTGAGAATTGTAATGCATTCTGCTATCACATATAAATAAAAAAGTTAATTAAAAATAAAAGATAAGTAAAAGAGATCTACAAGTGATCATAGGCAAAAGAGATCTACAAGTGATCATAGGCAAATAAATAAGTTTATCAATATTGTTATTCATTAGGGAAAGGCAAACTATTGGAAATTGGCCCCAAATCTATCTCATTAGGATAATTAGATATCATTTCATCCACGTCAGAATTATTATAATAAAAAACACAGATATTATAATGTGTTAAAGAGAATGCAAATAAATTGGAACTCTTCTACATTGCTGGTGGAAATTTAAGTGAGGAAATTGCAAAAGGTTACCTGTAGGTTTATCATAAAACCCAGAAAGCACAGTGTTGTGTGTATGTATATGTCCTCGATAATGGAAAACACAAGTCCACAAAAACACATGTACAAATGTTTCATAACCGTACTATTCATAATAACCAAACTGTAAACTCAACACAAATATCCATGAACTGACACATAGGTAAATAGAACAGAATAATGAAATATATTCATAAGTTTAATATTATTTGGAAATGAAGTACTGATGAAGAACCTTGTAAATAACATGCTAAATTAAAGACTGAAGTTGAAAAAAAATACCATTTATGTGAAATGTTCAGTACAGTCAACTCTGTAGGGACAGAAAATTGACTGGTGTTTTTCATAGGCTAGAGGGACTGAGGAATGTAGAGAGGTTGCTAATGGGTATCAGTTGCCTTCTAAGAGTGATAGAAATCTTTTAAAAAATGAATTGTGTCAATATATGCAGAAATAACAATTTTATAACTTCAAAGGTTATATCAATAAATCCATAACTTTAAAAAATAAATAAAAGAGGTCTTTTTGGTAGAATGTATGCTATGGTCATAACAAAGAATATTTTAAAATTCATGGAATGATATTAAATAAATTTCAGTAGCTAACTTGTGAATCATAAATCCTGTTAAATAAGATCAGAAAAAAATACATATATATAATATATGTAATACACAAAATTTTATTTATATATAAGATTTCCATTAGAATTCTGTATTATTTTTCTAATCAAAACCATTGGATTTACAATGGACTCTTGAATATGTGATAGAAGCATAAAAGCATATGAGTAGACTAAATGGAATGTGTCTTACTCTGTTTTGTTTTGTTTCATTTAATTAAATTTTGCTGCCCACATAAAATTCATAATTCCACAGTATCACATAATAGGGGCTGTTCTATAATGGTTTTTAGCAAAGTATTTAACCTACTTTTGAGAAAAAGGCATTTGTTTTTAATGCCACTTTTCCTCTAGTTTGTACATTAATTTATTTATTTACAATGAGACAAAGAATTAATATTCACAAGACTAAGAACTACTTAGTTATATTAAGAAGCCAGTCAAAACAAGGAACAGAGTGTGCATCTGTGTTACAAAACATTTCATTAATTTTAAATCCTCAAATTTATGTGGACATTATTTAAGAGGAAATAAAATGTTTCAGTAAATCTTATAAATTGGTTAATTAGGGTTTGATTAAGGTGATTCCTATTAGCATACAACACATTCTTTAAGTTCAATTCATTGGGAACATATCTTGTACACATAAAATTGAGTAAAGAATTAATCAGATAGTAGGCTAGATTGAAAACCCCTGGAGATTTAAACATGATATTAGTTATCATCAGAAACATGCCCAGAAGTTGTCTCAACTAGACTGTAAAAACCAAGGTTAGATCATTTCAGTTAACTTTATAATGTTGGTATTCCATAAGCAACAACTCAACTCATATCTTGCTAATGTTGAAGACCAAATGTGAAATGTCATTATTTCTATCTGGCCCACTTAGTAGATATAAAATAGCCGAATATTACTGATGTTCAAAGTTTGAAACTAGCCACACTGATTTCTCAGTGTTCCCTGGACAAATGAAGTTGCCACACTAAAAATTCTTTTCTCATTAGGATGGTAGGGAGTTATTTTCACTATTTGGCTTAGTAGTGGAGAACAATGATTCATCTTTTAGACTCAAACTAATGTAGATAAAAGAAGTCAATGTCTTGTAAGAAGTTATCCTTCTCAAAGGGATACCCAAAATTAGAAAGAAAAGTCATATTTGTAGAATTCTATATAGAATACAGAATAATTCCTGTTCAGCTACTCAAAATATATTTGCTAAATCACTAAATTAATCTGATTATTAATAATGCTGATATGTAGTGATCACTAACAAGTATGTAAAATCTGTAAACTTATAGGGTATATTTTTGTCACTTCGCCAATTAATATTTTAAAATACACT